GATAGAACACTTGGAAATTTTGTGCACTGATTGGCGGGACTCCGATTTTCATAAGACAAGCATTAAATGGTGTGAAAATTCAGATAATTCCAGAGACAGCACTAGGAAGTGAGTTTAAAACTTCACTCTCATTTTTAGATAAGTCATTCAAGTGGAAAATCATTAAAGGAACTTCAGAGTTAAATTATAGTACAGCTGGGACGACTGATGAATTCATTCATAATACTTAACCTAACAGATAGGTTCTCAGTAGTCCAGTGATCCTCCTTCTCTAAAACAGATCACATCCTAGGTCGTAAACCAAATCTTAACAAATACAAAATAATCAAATAATTTCTTATGCCTTATCTTATTACAATGGAGATAAAACTAGGACTGAAAAGGAGGGAAAACTACATATATGTATGAAAAATGAACATTTTCTTTAATGACCAAAGAATCACTGAAAGAAAAAACACGGAAAAAAATTTAAAAAATTAGAATCAAATAAAAATAAGAGTAAAAATTATCAGAACTAAATGGATACAGCTATGAAAATTCTAAGATGAAAGGTTATAGCTATAAAAATTTGATCTCAAATAAATATTGTAATGATACTTATCAGAGTGCTATAAGAAAAGAACAACAGAGGACTTTGCTACCAATCCTGAAGACACCTGATAGACCAGTATCAGATGTAAGGGGAGGAGGTTGTCCCTTATCAGTGGACTTGGAAAGGGGCAGGGAGGAAATGGAGGGTGGGAGGGTGGGATTGGGAGGGAAAGAGGGAGTGGGATACAGCAGGGATGCAAAGTTAACAAACTGTAACTAATACTTAAAAAATAAAAATTAAAAAAAAGCAAATAACATATTCATGATAAAAAAAATCAAGTAAGAATGGATACAGAAATTGTGGTACATCTACACAATGGAATATTACTCAGCAATGAACAATAAGGAAATCATGAAATTTGCAGGTAAATGGTGGGAACTGGAAAGGATCATTCTGAGTGAGCTATCCCAGAAACAGAAAGACACACACGGTATATACTCACTCATATAGACATAAAATATAGGATAAACCTACTAAAATCTGTACATCTAAAGAAACTAATCAAGAGGGAGGACTCTGACTAAATTGCTCAATCCCCATCCTGAAAGGCAAAGAGGATGGACATCAGAAGAAGAAGAAAACAGGAAACAAGTTAGGAACCTGCCACAGAGGGCCTCTGAAAGGCTCTGCCCTGCAGACTATCAAAGCAGATGCTGAGACTTATGGCCAACTGTTGGGCAGAGTGCATGGAATCTTATGTAAGAAGTGCGAAATAGTAAGATATAGAGAGGACAGGAACTCCACAAGGAGAGCAACAGAACCAGAAAATCTGGACACAGGGGCCTTTCCAGAGACTCATACTCCAACCAAGTACTGTGCATGGAGATAACCTAGAACCCCTGCACAGGTGTAGCACATGGCAATTCAGTGTCCAAGTGGGTTACATAGTAATGGGAAGAGACTGCCTCTGACATAGACTGATTGACCTGCTCTTTGACCACCTCCTCCTGAGGGGGGAGCAGCCTTACCAGGCCACAGAAGATGACAACACAGCCACTCCTAATGAGATCTGAAAGACTAGGATCAGAAGGAAGGAGAGGGAGACCTCCCCTATCAGTGGACTTGGGGAGGGGCATGTGTGAAGAAGGGAGAAGGAAGGTGGGATTAGAAGGGGAGGAGGAAGGGGTGTATGAGGGGATACAAAATGAATAAAATGTAATTAATAAAAGTTAAAAAATGTAAAAAAAAAGAACAACAGAAACTTCAAAGATATGGAGATAATAATAATCATGATAGAAATTAATGAATGGAGATTAAAAGAACAACCTAGAGAATATATTGAACATATAGAATCAATCAGTGAGTTGTTTTTTTTTTTTGAAAAAAAAATAAGATAGTAAACTCTTAGATAAATTAACCAAAAGAAAGAGATGTTCCAAAGTTAGACAATTAGAGATGAAAGGTGGTACATTACAATAGATTTCAATGAAATTCACAGAATCAGTAAGTAATATCTTGAAAATTTTATAACAAAATACTAGGAGAACCTAAAAGAAATAGATAAACTCTATTTGACATACCAAAATTAAATCAATATGTTAACAAAACAAATAGTAAAAATGAAGAATATTAAAAACTTTCCTAAAAGAAAATCCTAAGACCCTATTGGAAGGATTCATTGCAAAAATTACTAAACCTTTCAAGAAGAGTTAACACCATTGCTCTTCAAATTGTTCTGTAACAGGAACAGTGCTAATGTCATGCAATGGAGCCAGCATTATACTAATACCAAACTGGAAATGAACAACAACAAAAAGAAAACTATAGACTATGTTTCCCAAGAAGGTGGTTCATAGATAAGAACTTTATGAATAGAATTCTTGCAAGCTGAATTCACTAAGCAGTCATGAACCATGAACAAGTTGGTTTCATTCTAGAGATGGAAAGATAGGTCAACATAGACATGTCAAGAAAACTTGAGAACTGAAATTACATGATATTTCATCAAATGCAGAAAAAAGGCCCTTGACGACGAAGTCCAACACACACCCCCTCCTAGAATAAACAAAACGTCAGAGAAACTAGAAGTGGAGGGTATGCACCTGAATAACATAAATGATATATACATGATAAACATATTAAATGAGGGAAATTGATGTTTTTCTCTTAAATCAGATTTGAAGCAAAATTGTCCAATTGCAGTGCTCAGAGTCATAGCTGGAACAACAAGACAAGTAAAAGAGATACAAGTGGAAATAGAGTAGCAAAGTTCCACTATTTGTTGATAATGTGATCGGACCCTTAAACAGCCCAATTCTCCAAGAAAATGCTTGGATCTGAGAAGCACGTTCAGTGCAGGAGCAAAATAAAAAACTGCTACCAGAAACCACCAGCTTTTCTAGACCTGCCAAGAAAGGAAATCAGCCAATTTCACTCATAATGATTTTGACATAACAAACGTAAAATACTTCAGAATAAGTGTAACCAAGGAGTTAAAAGACTTCCACAATGCAAACTTTAAGAGACTGAAGAAAATAAGTGAGATGCTAAAAAATGAAAAGATCTCCATGATCATGGGTGTGAATAATTTATTGTGAAGTGGCCTGTTACCAATAACCTACAAATTCAACAGAATCCCCACCAAAATCTGATTGGCATTAGAAAAAGTAATTTTAAAATTCATGTGAAGACAGAAATGACCCTGAACAAGAAACACAATAGAAGCACAAACCCTAAGTCTTTAAAACCTCAAATTATAATACAGAGCCACTGTAACAAAATTTGCATGGCAATGGCACAAGAACTAGCATGGAGACTAATGGAGTAGGATAAAGGTTTCAAAAATAACCTAGACATTTGCAGATGCTTTTTAAAAAAATGTGCCAAATGCATTTGACAAGAGATGGCCTCTTAAAATGTTGCCGAGAGAACTGTATTTCCAGATGTAAGTTAATAGAACTAGATACTTATGTCAGACCTACCCCAAATCAATTTACAATTAATCAAAGATGCAAGACCTGCAATTCTGAAATAGCCAGAGGCAAAGCATATCAACACACAGGCACAGCAAAGCCTTTATGAAAAGAATTCAAACTGTAGAGAAAATAACTCCATAAATTGACAGGTGGGGTTGCATGACATTAAAAAGGTCTGTACACAAAAGAAAATGAGACAGCTCACAAAATGGGGAAAAAATTGTCAGCTATACTTTAGACTAAGATTAAAATTTAAACTCCCTAGAGAAGTATAAAACTTCAATCTCAAACATAATCAATCAATAAATGGACTAATGAACTGAAAATGCAATTTTCAAAAGGAGAAATTTATATATCATTTGAAAAATATGGGATGGTCATTATGCTAAACAAAATAGACTAGACTCAGAAAGATAAAATATTACGTGGTTTCTCTCAAACAAGTGCTTTAGATTTAAATTTATATAAACATGCATGGACGTATGTGTGTTTATGTGAAACATGAATGTAGAAAGAGAGCTATGGTAGGTGGGAGAAGAGATGTAAATAAAAGTAGGAGAGGGCTCAAGGGAGAATAATGGAATAAAAGAAACGAAAAAGGATGGGGGAAGAAGTGGAGGGACAAAGGGGAACAGCAAGAGGGCAGTGGGGGAAAGATCATGACTGGGCAAAGAAAACGGTATAATTATATATATACATATATATATATAATTATATATATGTATAATTATATATATGTATATATATAGTAACATTTTCATAACATTTTCATATATATATTATGAAAATGTTACAATGAAGCCTAATAATTTATATGCTTCCTATAAGCATATTAAAAAAACTGAAATTAAAAAAATTTAGAAGATACAGGAAAAATTTAGGTAGTATGAGAAAATTTAGCAATCAGATCTATGACTTAAACGTGAGTTGATTTCCTAGCAAAATTCAAGTAACCAAAAAAGGACACAAAATATGAATAAGTATTAAGGAAAAATCAGAACCATGATGAGACTCTGTATTTGGGCTGAGGAGAAGGCTCAGTTGGCAGAGTACCTCCTGCAAGCACGAAGGCCCTAAACTAAGATCCCAAGAATCCCTATCTAAAAACTCGGCAGGCAGTGTATGTTGCTATGCAACTTTAGGCCGTAACTGGGGGTTGGAGGTAGAAGGATCCCTGAAGTTCATCTGTCAGCCAGGCTAGCCGAACTGAGGAGCTTTTTCCGGTTCAATGAGAGAGACCCTATCTCAAAGCATAGGTGGAGAACCATCAAGTCAGGACATCTGGGCCTGACCCCGCCTCTAAATGCACCTTCGTACGTATGTGCACATACCCACACATACGAACGCCCACACAATGGGAGTGGCTGTTACATAAAGCTGCGAGCACAGTTCCCGACATGGACTAACCAGTCAGTGAGTCAGCTAATTGTCACAGTTGGTGAGGACTTCGTAGAGATACTTACAAAAGCGGTTCAAATGCCTTTGGTACTTACCTCCATTGTGAAACCTATGACTTTGAAACATTGTTCAATTAATTCATACTGGGATTTATAGAAACAATTATTCATCATGTCTTGTACTGTTCTGAGGTTGTCATTTTGTAAATACCTGAAGAAAGTATGAGAGGAAGGATAAAATCTAAAATCACTCTGACAGAGAAAGCATCATCAAAGTACAACTGGAGGTATTACCTTGGAGGCTTATTTTCAGGCAATTTGTAAAGGGCTAGTTTCTTCTTTTCTGCTAACCCAGCATAAATGTAGTAAAAAATATGAAAATTTTTTTCTCCACTGGAAAAAAAGAGACATTTTTCAGGAAAGTGGTTAATATAAACATTTATTAACTGCTAAAATGACCCACCAATACTACTTTAGGACTGTGATTTACGGCATGGGTATGATATCTTGAACATTGCATTCTGGCTTTCTGTTGCTAATGCCATTATTTTCAACTGTAAGCATCATTAGGTGGCAGCTCTAAGTATCATGGCATTTGTGAGGGACTTTCCAGGAATTTTTCTAGATTCCAGGAACATAAAGGGAACGAGACATGTTGGAAGGGCCATGCTGTTTAAGGTTGCAGTCTTTCCAGTCTGGATAGCCATTCTCAGCTTGGCGATAAGGTGCCGGATTCCCTCTCCCCAGCAGGGCCTCCTGCTCTCTGCCTGATTTCATCTGGAGAGGGTCTCTAGACATAGATGCCCCAAACTACATTAGATATATGGCTTTTGACACAGCTCTGTGCTCTGCCCTCCCTGCGCCTATAGCTTTTGTTCTCCTGAATTGAAGTTGAACTAGCTCCCTAAAGTTGTTCCCAGAGTGTTTGGTCTCCATCGTGCTCTCGGCCTTCCAAACTCTATGCCTCACCTTCCTCTCCTCCTGCCTTCATGGGCTGGTGGCCAACAGCCCCTCAGGAAAGAGAAAACCCATGAAACACTGAGAAATTTTTAACTTTTAGGACCTCATGTGTCAGTAGGAGTGGCTAGAAGAAGATATAAGATGAATACCATGCCGGGTGAAAATGAGTACTATTACCTCAATTATCCTCTGCAAGTCCAAGGGCATGTTCTTCCCACTTTACACGTTCAGGAAAATGAAGCTTAGTGCAACCCATCTCAACCAGAGTCACAGAGCTGGTGGCTTTCCTGCATTCAGACAAGGTCTATCTCACTGCAGAGACCATATCTCCTCCACCTCTTTGTATTGTATTTCTGAGGCTCTGTTTTCCCATATATGTAAGGCACCTCCTAATAGTTCAAGTTCCATGACTCCCTGGTTCTAAGTATGAAGAACACTCCCCAGGTGTTGGAAAAAAATTCAGCTAAGGTAGCAGGGGTGACTCTCTAGCCTAGAATGTTCCATAGCACACTGGTTAGGACTTAGGGTTCTATGTCCTCTGCTTCTTCCTTCCAATTCCCACTGGCTTCCTACTGCTGTCTCTCCAGTCTCTCTTTTTGTTGCTTTAATTCACCTCCAATAATTCAAGTGGCTACATAGGAAGTGCTGGGATTTGCCTCTCTGTGGCATTCTTGTTCCTGTTTTCCTACTCATCCCTCCTATTTTAGGATGCTCCTAAATTCTGATTATGCCTTCCATTACCCCCAGGCTCAAGGTGGAAGTCCAGGAAGGGGCAGAAATTTTTCCAAGGGTTAAATGAATTATAATACCACAGACTCCAGGCAAGCCACACACACATTCCCTATTATTACTCTTCTTCACTTTAGCGTAAAGTTTAACCTCTCACAAAGCTTTAGGTGTATCCACAGAGGTGGAATCATTAGATACGGCATCACTGCCATGGACCCTCTCCTCCATGATACCATGTTGTGGCCTGACCTGGTTTGGGTCCCTTTCTGTCATTGCTCCCCACACATAAATGCTGGGCAGCTTCTCATGCCTCTTACTCCCTGCTTGTCTTCTTTACCTCTATACAGCTTGGGTAAGTGGGCTTTAGGGGTCATTGAAAGATTTAGAAAATGAATGATCATTATCAGGTCGATATTTTTACCTAAACAAGAACTTAAAAAAAAAAAAGCTTTTCCATATAAAGTCCATGGAAATGGAAAAGGCATGCTTTTTAATGTATTATTCTACAGAAATTATTTTACCAAAATGATCAGAAATGGCTTTAAAACTCTTCTATGTCTTTCTCTGATGTATTATAATCTTAATAGAGACAACTTTTGCATGCATGCATGCTGCTGCTACTACTACTATCTACTGTCACTTTTGAGAGGCCTCACCATGTCCCCCACGCCAGCCATGAATTCACAATACCTCTGCCTTAGCGTCTGCAGGCTGGAGATTAAGACTTGGAGCACCATACTCTAAGTCTTGTAAATACTTCATTGTTCCATCAAATGGAAATTTTTCTTAGAATAAATGTTAACTGAAACATAGCTGTATGGATTTATAAAGGTTTTTAAAGTGTTAAAATTTTCCCAGAGGTACAGGGGGATAGTTCAAACAGGGAGAGACTACAGGAAAAATACAGGTTTGGGAAGAATTCGGTTGACTTGGAATGCAACCAAACTGGAAAAGGTGAAGTCAGGTCAGAGTAAGAAGTACGTATTTGTGTGCTGATTTCACAGAACTATGTGAATTCATGACGCCAAAGAGACGATGAAGCGACAGTAGGGAGAAAAGGTAAATGCCTCAAGGATAAATCATGGTAAAAATAAACATTGTAGGGATGGATGAATAAAGTTATGAGAAGAAAAATGTATCACACAGAAAGAACAGGAATCAGGAGCATCCAGGCAGAGGGATCAAAGAAGTCAAGGTTTCAATGTTGGCTGCTGACCCAAGAGCAGACATATCCTTTACCTCACACTTTTTAACTTGAATTAATTTTGAGCAGTGTAGGGATGGAATCTGGGGCCTCATACATGCTGGGTAAGCACTGTCCTGCTGACAAAAACCCAGCTACACATCTTTCCTAGAAAGACACACAGATTTTCATCTTCAATTCTACCATCTGTTGCTCTTCTCAGGTGCCATGAGATGTCAAGAAGGCTATTACAGACAACATTGTTCATGGCAAAAGGGACCATGTAGACCTGGAAGTGGCCTGGGAACCTGGTAGGCTGGTGGAGACTGGGGATAGGAGAGGATGCAGAGAAAGCATGACCAGAATGTTTGATATACTGGTATAAAATTGTCAAAGGATAATTCTTTTTAAACTTAGAACAAAACTAAAAGCTTAGTTTAGTTTTCATCTATTTAGCACCACCAAATAATAAAGTTTCTCTAGGATTAGCACGCTATATAATTTATTTGCTTTGTTCTCTTGGCATCACATTGATTGCTCTGCATGTCACCTCTTACAGCATGTCAGTGATGCAATGTGTAATTAGTGAAGTGACTCATAAACGCAGACACAGACTTAGCAGATTTCTCCACCATTATCAGTTCACATTTACAAAGACTGTAATTGTACAAGGCCTGGCGTTTCTAAGGGAAGTGCACTGACCTTCAATGGATAAACAACTGGAGAGTTAGAGCAGCGAAGGTCCCTACACCTTCAAAACTGTGGAAAAATCCTCAGTATTGTGGCTTAACTCATCAGTGACACGTCTGAATCTTTGCTGAAGATGCCAGAAGGCTGATGAGAAAGCTTTGCATAACCAAAGTTCCACAGTATTTTTCATTTGATTTTGTTCAACTAGGACTTCTCCCATGGGCAGCAAGTCTCTTGCATCTTTCTCCTTGTGCTTTCACTTCTCATTTTCAGAAGCTGAGCTTACCTCCCACTCTCCTAAGAGACTAGACTGAATGACGAGTCAGTTTGAGCCAAAGCACACAAAATTCTTTGGAAATTATGAACTACTCTCTCCAACCCCCAATCTTAGTTGGTTTTAAATTTTCTGTGAGCACCACACAGTAGACATCCAACAAATATTTGTTAAATGAATGAATGAATGAATGAATGCGCATGGAGATTTGGAGCTACCCAATGAATGAGGTTTAAATTTCATCTTTTGATATTACTTAGCACGTTCTCTCATTCTGTATCCTCCTGTGTGAAGACGACAATACAGCAAGTAAGAGACACAAAGGAAATGAGGTGCTTAACACAGTGCCCCACTAGTCCACAACAGCAGAGAACATGCCTGCTTGTTTGTTTACGGCTCTTAGGGAGCCTTGTAAATGGCTGGTGCTGCAGAATAATGCAATCAATGCTTGCTGAACTCCAGTCATTAACATGAGGAAACTAGCCGATGCAACCATACTTTACATTGATGAGAATTATCCAGTGTTGTTGTCAATGTGCTCATTTTCTTTCAAGCAGCCTCTTTTTAATTTTTTCTCTTAAAACTCCCAACACTTAACAAAGAGCTTAAGTCTCAAGTTATCAGTTTACCATCATGACAAAAGCCCACTATGAATGCAGCCAGAGACTGAGGTGTGCAGAACAGGGCAGAGGAAAAAGAGAAGGAAAGAACATGAGAATTTAAACTTGAATCCTCAGGACCCACTTAACAAGCTCCCCATATGTAAATGCATGTCCATGTAATGCCAGTACTGTGAGACAGAGGCAGGTGCTTCCTAAGAGCTACCTGGCAAACCAGCCTGGGCAAAATGGCAAACTTGCAATTCGGAGTCCCACAAGAAGACTATGCTCACAATTAGAACATAACTGCAGAGGGCCTAGGTTGATCCCATGCACACTCCCTGGTTGTTGGCTCAGTGTCTGTGAGCCCCTATGAGCCCTGGGTTAGTTGATTCTGTGGGTTTTCTTGAGGTGTCCTTGGCCCTTCTGGCTCCTACAATCCTTCCCTGACCTACCTCTTCAGCAGGATTACCCAAGTTCCACCTAATACTTGGCTGTGGGTCTTTGTATCTGTTTCCATCAATTGCTAGATGAGGCCTTTCTAATGACAACTGGGCTAGGCTCCAGTCTATGAATATAGCCCAATATCATTAAGAATGATTTCATTGACTTTTTTTTCCTTTGCTGGTCCTGTTGGTTCTATTCCAGGTCTCTGGGCTATTCAGCTTCTGGGTCCTGGCTCTCCAGGCAGTGTCAAAGGTAGACTCTCTCTCATAGCATGGTTCTCAGGCTGGAACATTAGTCATTGTTTGGGCACTCCCATAATTTCCGCATTACCTTTACCCCAGAACATATTGAAAGCAGGACAAATTGTAGGTCGAAGGTAATGTGGCTGGGTTGGCGTCCCAATCCTTCCACTGGAAGTCTCATCTGGTTACACTAGATGGCTAGTGCAGGCTCTGTGCTCTCCACTGCCAGGAGTCTTAGCTAGGGTCACCCTTGTAGATTACTGGGAATT